CCTAGCTGTTAAAATCTTCAGAATCTCATCTTTTTTTTAAAACAATATCTCACGTTGCTGAGTAACGGTTTAATACAAATATGGCATTGCCACTTCAACAATAATTATATTTATTTATTAAATAACAAGATATTATAGTACAGATATCACACAAAAACATTGTTAAATTGCATTCGATAGCGATAAAAATGGATATTTTCGTTGAAATATGCTGCCTGAAACTTTTTGCGATTACAATACTTCCTTTTTACTTCGTACAAGGAAGTAAAAAAATCAATAAAAATGTATTATATATATAAAAAAATGACAATGAAATATGCCGATCTCTTAAAAACAGTGACATAAATACGATGAAAAATTGTTGCCAAACCCATATTTCTAAAAGTATGAAACTATTCAAAATGATGCATGCGATTTCATCAAAAAATCTATCAACAATAAGAAAGGAAAATTGTTGCCAAAATCACATTTTTAAAGATGTCAGAAGTGTACTCGGAAGCTTCATTTAAAAATACAAAATATTATCATTTTTCCAAAATTCTTTTTGTAAAAGCAGTCGGAAGGATAAAAGTTTAACGTGTCCAAAAAATCAAAGAAAAATAAATTTTTTTAGAAAAAATCCCATTGGAAAGCTCACTTTGTTAAATAAATTCGAATTTAATCGATTTATTGAAACACGAAATTTATTTTAAGTTCGTAAAATAGCTAAGTGCCTATGTTTCATGACGATGTAAAAATGGAGTGTGTAGAGTAAAATCTCGCTTTCCTATAGCCCATTATGTCTCAAAATGATGCGATTTCGTCACAAAACATAAAATATAAAATATTCTAATTCTAATTTCGAAAAAATCGCTTTGAGGCGCACTGGCTCTTGTCTAGATGCCCCTATGTACCAAATTTCATAGCCGTGGATCTATTAGCTTACGCGCAAGCACGAACAAAAGACACACACACACACTCTTTCTTTTATTATATGTAGAGATGAAGAATTCCTAAGAATAATTAATACTGAGTATATTGGGCTTATTCTTAGTTACAACCTTCAATAGGATATGCACATCAAGTATGCTATCAGTACAGTAAATGCAGCAATTCAACTCTTGCCCTTAATTGCTTACAGAGCACATCTGGGCCTTAAGAGCAAAAGAATTCTGTCTAGAATGATTAATAGGCCAATACTGGGCTACGCCTCCCTACTCAGGCAGCGGGTATGCGGGCAGACATTAGACAGTTTCAAATTATTCAGAACACAGTACTTCGAATTATTATTAACGTTTGCATATTTATCAAGAACCCTATGCTGCACATTGACTTGAAAATCCCTTATGATTACCGATAACCTCAAAAAGAAGAATGAAAAATTCTTTGCTAATTTCTCGTCAATAATTAATTATTAATGAAGTACTGGAACATCATATATTTATTAGACCATCTGCTGCGCACTTGTTAGACTACCATAACTTTGTCACCCAATCTGTAATTATTTATATAATTTTGTAACCCAGGTTTTGATTCTTATACAGTTAATTTTGCACTTTGTATCGTCACTATGCACTGTCTTATTGTATAACATTTATAAGTTCGTACAGTATGATAAGGTACAATATGATCGCAATGAAGCAAGCCATGAAATGAAATGTTGAAAATGAGGACGAAACAGTACAACAAATCACATTCCCGAATTATCTTTCTGGTCTACAGATGGCTAAAAATATTTTTGCCATCTGCAGACCAGAAAATTTGAAAGAGAAATAGAGGTACTTTCTGATTATCCGCACTTTCATCAAAAAGTGACGCAAAAGCGTTCACCAGGCAAAGCTGTAAATTGACAAAATAATTATGTGGCTAACCCAGTTTGAGCACAGTACAATTTAAACAATGTTTTCCCAACTTAAAACGCGGAACTTCGTCCACTTCGGACATTATGTATATATCTGTAAAATTCCCAAACATTTCATTCTGTATACTTAACCAAGAATTCTGTTAAATTATTTTATTATTTAACCATGATTTCATTGTGCTAATGTTGAATAAACAATATGTAAACAGTTTTTAACTGTCCGTGACTGACCAACGCAATGGTTAAGATTCAAGCTCATCAGTGCTAACACTTAACAGTATTAGCTGGCTCTGGACTCGGAGAGTGACTTTTCTGAGAACAGTTTTAATTTTCCTACAGAGGAACTTTTCATTACTTTGATTAATTTTTATACCTTTATTTGATCTTGTAGTCTGTTTTTTTGCTTCATAACTGTTATCCCGTAATTGTAAATACTATACATAAATTTTTATTTTTGTAGCTATATGAATTTTAGTTTAATATGTGTCTCCTGTGTGGCTTCCCAATATATCTGATTGGCTAACGAAATTCCTTTGGTTATGTGATTACAAGTTCCATTGGACCTTCCCCTTTTTTCCATCTGTGCTCCACTTCCTAGTCAGGGAGTTTACTCTGATGATTCACTCACATCATAGGCACACTACTTAAAGTGAGTTGGCTACATCACCACATGGTGATATTCACAGCTATACATGTATTTCTATATGTTCTATGCGCGTAGCACATGTCTGTTTCGGACGAGGCGCAATCCTGGAATTGCGCGATGCCGAGTTTGTAGAATTCTCTTATGTTTTTTAAGCGAAAACAGATCGCTGTGTACATGGGAAGAATAACAGAGCAAAAAAGGATTTCTAAAAAAAATTAAGTATTTTATTACCGATGGTTCTTGCTTTTGTAATTGTATTGATTGATTGCTCTTGTATGGAATTCTTAGTGAGTCTCCATTTTGAAAATGGCTGCTGCCTTTCGCGCATCAGCTTCGCGAAAAATTAGTCGCCAACAAGCTTGCGACTTTCCGATGCATAACAATACATATTCTTTGGCTACAGATGGTCAGAAAATACCGAAGTGGAATATTTTGCTTTTTCAAAAAATACCAGAAAATATTATAACATAAAATCTTTGAAACAAACAAAACTGTTTAATAAGAGGAAGTAAACATCAAATAAATATATATTCTGAGATGTTGGTGACTGCCTGTATTGACCATATTTTAGATCTGTCAATGTTTTTTAAAAATACTAATGAACTAATCTCATGCTACAAATTTAAAATGAAGCAGAGCAATAATTAAAATGCCAACTCTACACAGAAGTTAAAATACAGGTGTTAAAAAATTTACATATCTTAGGTTTTTAAAGAAGAAAAGATAATGCTGACAGTCAATCATTATTTAATGAAAAATTTAAAATAAAAGCATCAAATCAGAAAAATTAATAAAGCTGGGAAAACAATAATTTTCACCTTGCCAATAAACTAAGACTTTCCATACCATCTCCTTAGTAGCATCCTCTCAGAAAGATACTGCTGCCACCATCAGCATATCTGAGAATAGTTGCCAAATGTTTGAAAGATTTTCACGTCATTGATATTCATGTAATTCATAAGTAGCACAAACAGCAATTATTGGATTAAATGCATCACCAGATTTATTACATATAAGCATTACAAAAATTTAATTAGTTTTTTCAGATGCTGAAACTGATACATTAGGAAATGTAACATATATAAATTTAAATATTAAGATTATAGAAGTTACTATGCAACACAAATTGAGATTTAAAGGCTATACGGCTAAATATACACAGAACATGATAAAAATATGCACTTTTAAAATTTTTAATATTATTTTTACATGCATATAATTAGCAAAATTAGCAAATAAATTTTAGTTTCACTTAAGAAATAAAAGCAATGATTACCAAACTAATCATTTAGCACAACATTTTGGCAATTTTTTTGAATGGATGCTATTAAGGAGAAATAGCCAAATTTAAAATAAGGAACAAAAAATCAAAGGGGGAATCCAGTTAAGAAAGTGCTTTTTTCATTCCATCACAGAGTTATTATTTTTTTCTTTTTTTTTTTTTTTAACAATGGGCAAAATTCACTATTTCCCAATTTGGCAATTCAGCATCTTATTCCAAAGAAAGACACCTAAAAATTGCAACCGCATAGTCAACACAAATGCAATTTGTACTATTTATAAAACTGTCAGCTGCCTTCAAAAATAAATAAATAAATAAATAAATAATAATAAAATAATAAATAAATAAATAAATACAGAGCTTTCTACAAAAAATTTCAGTCATTATTTATGTTTTCCACCTTCAGATTACAAATTAGTTTAAAATTCTGTACAGTTTAATGCACTTTGTATACATACCTAAAGTACTAAAAGATTTTTTTTACATATTTAAAAAAATTTTAAAAACTTCATAATTCAAAACAATTTATTGATGAAAATTTTAAAGTAAGCTGAATTTTTATATGTGTGTGAAGTAGATACGCATCTCACTATTACAAAACATAAATTAATTACCTTTTTTTTAATTCATTTACTTAGTTCTGCAAAAAATAAAACCAAAATGTTGAGTGGCTTTATCCACTTTATTGGGCTGGACAATATACATATATTTATTAGTATAGAGTTCTTTTATTTGGCTTCATTCCTTTCAGTCTTAGTAACTTCAGGAGATACTATAAGAAAAACATAACTGGATTATTTGCTATTTATTTCCAAAGTTTATTTCTAAGTCCAAGATAGAAAGGATTTTGTTGTGAAACTTACTAAGTTATATTAGTACATTGAATATGTTATTCTTGTAGGCTGTCTCAGAATATATTTTATTTATTTGCATTTACCTTCTCTATCTGCATACGATTTTGTCAATGTCCAACTGCATAGATGACTGACTTATCACTGCCATCTTGTCTTATTGCAGACTGAAGAACAACCCAAGGCAAATAAGTTTTAGCTCACTATTGTTATTCTGAACACAATTCAATATCTAGAACCATTAGTGTTGATTTTTTTATTAATTTTGAAAAATGAACACTTATTTAATGAACAATGATAATTTTTAATTCAAATTTGCATGTCATAAAATAAAACAATACACCAAACAAGCATTTAATTTACAATTATACAAAAACTTACGTCACTGTTTTTGGCACATCAGTCACAGATGGATATTTCTTCATCCACACAAGCAAATACTTTTCCAATGTGTTTGGCTTGTGAGCTCCTCCTAAAATGACACTGTTCTTAATTTTTTTAAATCAAAATCTGAATCAATATGAAAGTTTAAAAAGATGTTTGCACCTACAAAAGTTTTAACAGACTGCTGTTTTCATGACATGCAACTTCCTGATTTTTACTTGCATATTCCTGTTTCACTTCTCTGATAAATTTTAACTTTAAGTAAATCTTCCAGTTTTTTTAAAAAGGATATATATGTGTGAGTGTGTGTGTGAAAAATGGTTAAAATACTTATTGGTATCATAGTTATGGTTAAATATCATAGAACAATAATAATTGAAAATCTGTTGCATCTACCAACTAAAATAATAAAAATATTCCATAACTTTTCATATTTTAACAGTTGCCCAAAAGGACTCTTTAAAAGTTTAATGTGGTTATCTATGGAGATTATCAATAGAGATGGCCCACGTAGAATAGCGAAACATTTCATAGGCTACTAGATGAATATATATTTAGACCAGTGCTTTCCAAAGTGAACCCTGAGGGACTTTGGTAAAGAACTAGGAGGGTTGTAAGAAGAGTTGCAAAATAAAAACAAACAAAAAACTTGTTAAATCTTAATTTAATAATATAAAAAATATATATAACAAACAAAACAGTTATCAAATTCATCTGATTTAACACTTAACAATTTAACTATAAACAGGCAAATTTAGTGTATTTTATATTCAGGAACACAAACAAAATATGAACAAGTTTGAAAACACAAAATAGAAAAATAAAGTCAAATATTTTAATGGGCCCATGTGTTTGTTTTTCCAAAACCAGCTTTTCAAGTCTAGGCTCTATTTGATACACATACAACTATATCGTTTTCAAGCTCAAGATAATTTCTCAATTTTGTTGTAGTGGCAGACAGAAATGAGAAGCATAAGTCACATGAATATGATGTTACAAATGGAACCAAATATTTGACAGCTTAGTTTGCCAACTCAGGATGTTCCTGCATTCTTTTTGTCCACTGGGAAAAAAATTCGAATTAGTAATTAGTATTCCAATGTAGTATTAGGCATTTCTTCTGATAATTTGATATCAAAACCATATCAATATCCTGTCACAGCTTTAGTGTTCTCTGTGCATATAATATCTATGCATTTCCTCCAGTCAATATCATATTTACTTGTGCTTTTCATAAAAGTGTTAAATAAGCATTTTCTGGTAGTATTGATTGATCTCTAGTACAAAACAAAATACCTTCTGTAATATCATTCTTTGTATATCTTTTGACTATTAAGAATCGGGCACAGTTAGATATATCTGTGTATTCATCCACCTGTAGAGAAAAGCACACGCATTTCTTAAGATCTTCCACAATTTGCATTCGAATATCTTTCCCCATGTCACTTATTCTTCTCAGGGTGGAATTATTTGACACAGGTATTGTTTTTAACTTTTCAGCCTCTTTTATACCAACTATTATTTTTATCATTTCAGCAGCTGCTGGCAAAATAAGATCTTAAACAATTATATGAGGTTTACTAGTTTTAACAACACAATAAGTATCTTGATAACTTACTATAAATGCTTTTTCATTAGTATTGACTGCTGATGAAAAAGCATCTTTCTCCTTGTGAAGGAAAAGTTTAGCTTTTTTTTTTTTTCAAATAATTCCATGGAATTATCTTTTTTGGTCTGGGTGTTTGGCATTTAAAGTAGCTTTGATGGCTTCATACTTTCTCTTCAACAAACAACACATTTCGATTTATCGTAAGTAGCAGTAAAACATATTTAAGATACTCATCCCTAACAGTTTTCTAATCATTATTTTCACTCCCAGACATAGATGATTCAGCAGTTCTTTTTAAAAATTTATCCACAATTCATAATTTTGATAATGTAAAATATTTTATTTGATACTGTACTCATCACGATGCGCTGTTGGAAACTGATGTTTAATCGTACTTTGCTTTTATATAAAGCCAAACTGAAGTAACTAGAGTGTCATCTAGTAGTGCTCTCATAAATATATGGAAAATTATAGAAACACATAGAAAGATATTGCATCATGCAACGTGCAGTCAATTTTTTTATTATAAATGGTAAGTATGGCAGAGTTACTAAAGGGGTAGATTGTAATCAAAATTATTGTTCAATTTAAACAATACAGTTCAATAAGTCAAAACAATTAATTAATTTAGTTAAGCCAATTTCTTTTACCACTGTTTTATTTTGACGGATAAGCTGGAGGAAATGGAAATTGTGAATAATTTTTTTGTAAAAAGGCAGTCTTGCTTTAGGCAGCTTTGGAAACAGCTGATTTAGACTAACAAGAAGAACATTATATACAGTCAAAAGTCGTTAATCTGGACTCGTCGGGACTTCGGCGACTCCGGATTATCGATTTTTCCGGATTATAGATCATCAGTTTAAATCGCGTTAGATGGCATGCAGAAATTCTAAAATTAAAAATATGAAACCGTAATTTATGAAATAAAGAACAATTATGATCTAAAGGGTATCAAAATTCACAAAAAAAAGCTTAATATTTATTTGTTTATTTTATTAAACATTTCTTTCAATGTAAGTTGTTTAAGTTGCTTCGTTTTATGTGATAATACTTTCTCTTTAATTCTATAAACAGACATAATTTTTTGTTCAGTTACAAAGTTCAGTTTTTGTTCAAGTCCCGTTATTGCTGTGCCGAGAATACCGACTAACTTGTCAATCGAAATTTTTTCGTTTTCACTAACTTCTCTGTCACATTCTTCATGTCTTTATCCATTTTTTGCAGCAATTCCACTTTTTGTTTGATGGACATCGAAACATACTTTCATTTTGTACGATCCTTTGGGAGCTCCAGAATCGGAAATTCTATTTGACATAATCGAAAGTTCAAGTTTACTTTTATAGTATTGCTCTTACAGTCTGCAGAAAATAATAATCCGGATCCAATTCGAAGAACGCAATCATCAACATTAACTGAAACAACGCAATCATCAACATTAACTGAAATAGATAATTAGATAATTTTAGATTATGCCGTCCGTTATACATAAAACGTGCACGCAAAAACGTATTCTGCGCTTGCGCACACGCAAATGCGCAGTCGTAAGAGGTCTTACGCGCACACGTAAACGCCTATGCGCATGTGTCAACGCGGCGCATGCGCAGAAAGTTTTTAGCTTTGAGGTCCGGATTATAGATCATTCCGGATTATGGAAGTCCGAATTAACGACTTTTGACTGTATCTTCTGTTTATTTAAAAAGTGAAAAATTTTATAATATAATTCTGTAAAAATAGTTAATACATTTGATTAGATATAAGATGAATCAAATGCATTTTTACGTAAATGAATCAGATTAAAGAGTAAAAAAATAATATTCTCAACTGTAGCTATTATTTTTAAATAGCTTAGTTTGTTAATCAATACCAAACAGATTTAAATAGCTTAGTTTGTTAATCAATACCAAACAGATTTACATAACTTACATTTTGTCAAATGGCAACAAATCCAAATAAAGCATGAAACAACACATTGACAGTGGATGATATTTAAAGTGAATCGGTGTAAAATTGTTCTTTTCGCGTCTGACATGAGGGACTCATTGCAAAACTAATCAACCTTAATTTTGAAAGAGAAATTCTTCTGATCATCCTCTCATTCATCTCGGACAGGACTTTTAAAGTGTACGTGAAAGGAGCTTACTCCTCAGAACGTAATATGCAAAGTGGACTACCTCAAGGGTCCTGTTTAGGCCCTGTACTCTATTTACTTTTATGCTGCAGACTTCCCTAAACCCAACAGTAACGACTCTATCTTTGCATGTTACGCAGATGATACTGCCCTGGCAGTTAAGTCTGCGAACATTAGCTTCGCTATTAAGAAACTACAAGCCTTCATTCCAAGTATCGAGTCATGGTGCGCGAATTGGAAAGTGAAGATTAATGCTCAAAAAATCTCAATTATTGATCATTCGCAGAAGGAAAAGAAATAAGCAACTGAAGAATCACCTTCTCCTCTTTAATGAAAGAGTTCCTATAGTGAAAAGTGCCAAATATCTCGGAGTCACTCTTAATGATCGTCTTACCTTGGACTGACCATATCAACAATGTTCGAACCACTGCACTACAAAATTATCAAGTGTTTGCTTCCTATACTCGGTAAATACTCTAGAATGGATTTGGGGAAGAAAAGACTTGTTTATCTCTCCACAATTAGACCTATTTTGACTTATGCATCTCCTGCCTGGGCGGCAGCCAAAGACTCAGATGTGAACAAACTCCAAATCGTTCAAAATAAACTCCTGCGTATTATCACGAACGCACACTATTATGTCCGCAACAAGACCCTCCATGAGGACCTCAAAATTGATACCATCGCGGTACATCTGCGGAAACTTAACGATAAATTCTTCAAAAATGCGCAGGAATGTAACTTTATGAATCATTTCAACATGTTTCATTATGAAGTTCTCACCGATGATCGATTTCTTCGACCTTTCGCAGCTTACATACTCAGTGGAAACGAAAATTTCCCCACCTAATACCAAGTTTTCTTCAGCATTTCTAACCTGAAATCTCGCAACGTATTAACGACTTCTTCACACCTCACGTGACAAGGTAGTCACGCCCTCTCAACATCTGCAATCCTGACTTAGGTCTCACTCATGTATTCTCCTACTTTCAGCGCTCTATAGCAACTAACTCAGACAGCCGGAACAAAACTTGCAAATCCTGCAAGTTAATCAGCGGCGCATCCAGCGGTACTTGGAACTTGGAAATTGTTCTTTTGGGGCTAAAAACCTGCTGTGAAAGATATATTGAACACTTTTTGCTAAGTAATATGGCCAGTGTATACTCACAGAATCTTCAGTACTGAAACTGACAGAAAGTATTTACACTTGAGAAGGTTAGATGTTTAAAAAATCAATTATAGTCAGTAAAATCCTGACTATCCAGCACTAAACCAGAAAACTCAAATAACTGAAATAGTTATGAATTTTATATAAAAAAAAAAATTCTTTCAAAAATTTAGTAAATGAGAGATTTGTAATGCTGCTT